TATTGCAATAAAATGTAAACAAAATCTCAATTTTTTTTCATTATCATTGCAATCAAAGCAAGATGTCAATTCAAAACTATGTAATTAGGTTTTTTTTTTTAAAGTTGTTTCTTTTTTTACTCTCTCTATACGCAAATTGCGTAATAAGAACAAAACTCTAGAATATTCTAGAAGCTGCAAATCATTGCAAATACTACGGTGGCAAATACTGCAGCGGTTTAATCGTTATTAAATAAATGGCACTATGTAAATAAGTTAAAGAACAGAGAATCAAGGAGGCTTGATTGCGAAACCCAAGAAAACGTGACGTCAACATATCTACCACTGTGTTTGCACAAATAAGTCAAATAAAAGTCGAAGCAAAGACGTGAAAAATGCAGAAATGGTGAAAAATATAGTAGGATCCCGTTACGAAATTATGCTTACATAAAGAAAACCGATGAAAAATATTTTACATCTTGAAAAAGATTTTCACGTAAGAACATCCACGGATAAAGATCGCTTAAAAATCCAAGTAATAATTGTTAAAAGTTAAATAATATAAATAATATTTATTCAAAATTGTTTTAATAATAGTCATTTTGCGATATCTTGATATCGAATTCGTAACGAGTCAAAGAAGGAAAAGTGATAAAGAGAGAGAGAGAGAGAAAAAGAGAGAATAAAGCCACACAACGGAAGAAGTAATGAAAATTAGGAGTGGAAAACGTAGCGGTAGTAACGAAAAAAATACTGACCTCTGTAAGCCTTTGTTAATGGCAAGCATGGCCTTGCCAGTGCTAAAACAAAACACAAAAAGAACAACGTAAGAAGAGAGATACTCCGGGATCGAGCCAAAGTCGGGGGATAAGTCGGGCGCTCCCTGTGTATTTCATTTTCTACCCTCTACGTAGCGGTGCACTGTTACCCCGAACGGGACGCAATGGGGGATGCAATGGGGGATGCAATGGGGGATGCAATGTGGGATTGAGAGAAGCGAAATGATATCTATGTCGTTATAACATTAATATTGCAATAAAAAATATGATACACAATTATTTACAATACAATAACTGTTATTTGCACAATTCAAATGACATTTGTTAAATTAGAAAGTAATAATTTATTTAAATAATGTGTAGACATATAAATTTAATTTTAAGTAAAGTAAATAATCGACAAAGAATTTGTTTTATGAAATCAGTTCGGTTCTCTGTTAGGAGAGGAACTCAAGGAATTGTTGTCACAATGATATAAGCGCTATGTAGGTTAGAATATGACCGTGACGTAGTTTCCAAATGATGACGTCAAAATAATATGATAAACTTGAAATCGTTAAAATTGTCAAGCATTAAAAAAATTTTTTTAGTTATACTTGCAAATTAAAAAAAAAAACAAAAATTCGAATATAAAAAAAAAAAGGAGAAGCATTTTATGGATAATATATATTAAAATTGACAAATTACATTTTTTGGTATGTATTACAAAAATTGTAGAAAATAGGCCGATTACTCAAACCATTAATTGATTGTGCGTTTTGTCGTCTCAAATTTTGTTTAACATTGACAGTTCAATTAACTGCTGTACAAGCTATTCTTCCTCTCTGTTGAAAGGGAAAATGAAATAATAAGAGACAAAGCAACAGCAAAGCGCAGCTGCACTTGATTAGCGCTTTGTACTTATTTGAAAACAAACGACTAATGTCCGTGACGAGACTCGTGAAGAATTTCGGTAGCTTTGTATATTAAATTTAAAGGTACGAACAGACTTTGACACGTGCGATCAATAAAGATGTATTGTATACTGCATATATCGCCTCCGAGAGAAAATTTGTGAAAATACGTAAATAGATACGTATAGTACGTAAATAGATATCGCTCTTGATAGCGAGCATCGTGACTTATGTGTAATATATGGGAGGCTCGAAATGAAAGAGATGATAAATTGTGTGTCGATAATCCTTAACTCTGTAATTGATATTTGTCGTCATCGAGAATGATCATATATATATATATATATATATATATATATATATATAAAGATTTTGTGATATAATTTCACAATACATCTAATAATTTGCCACAATAAAGTATTACTTCGATCGTGACGGCAGATACCGATATAGAATGTAAGGCTATTGTGTACGTTTTGCTCCTCCGTGTTTCGAAAATGGCCAAAGATCAGCTTACGTT